AGAGAGAATGCAGAGGAAGTATGGGATAGAAGAAGTTGCTCACCTCATGGTAGCTGGAAATAAAAAGGGCAGCAAAGTGCCAGTTGTCCCAAGATACCCTTCAAGGGTACCTAACTGCCTCCCAATATACCTCACCTCTTAAAGCTCCTACCACTTCCCTATTAGTAGTGTCATAGCTACAGAACAAACTTTCAACACATTGGCCTTTAGGGGACATTTCATATCCAAACTACATGATTATTTATTATAGCTGATTCCCAATACTTTATTGGGAATAAAGCTTTATAATAGATTATAATAAGCTTTATTATAATCTACCAAAAGAAGAAAAAAGTTTCCCTAATTCTAGCTATCCATTTATCCCTTCCTTCAAAGCATTGTTTAAAACTTAATGCTTTCATCCATGTTCCTGGATTAATTGTGAGTCAAGAATTTCAATCATTTRTCAGGTGCAGTGGTGCATACTTATAATCCCAGTGGCTCGGGAGGCTGAGGCAGGGAGAATCTCCAGTTCAAAGCCAGCCTTAGCAAAAGTGAGGAACTAAGCAACTCCGTGAGATTCTTTCTCTAAATCTGATACAAAATWGGGCTGGGGATGTGGCTCAGTGGTTGAGTGGCCCTGAGTTAAATTCCTAGTACCTCCAAATAATTTCAATCATTCAATCAATATATTTATTCTGTTTGTGTACCTGTAAGTTATTAATATCATAGCATTTTGACTTCCTCTCACATAGCATTTACATTTATTTTATCTCCTTGTTTAAATGTCTGTCACCCGATAAACCATAAGTTTTTGAAAGGGATGAAACCAATTCTGTCTAGTATCTCTTGTGTTTGGTATACAATAGACACTCAAATACTTGTTGGTTCAGTGAATAAGTAAGTGAAAGCTAAATATGTATTATTTCATTATTTTTTAAAGATCTCATCACTATCTAGTTCTTGGTGGTTTTTGTATCTTCCCAAAAGATTCTAAGTTGCTGTACATGTATCATCTAATTTCAGAACATAACCATAAAACCCTTTAGTAGTTAAGAAGTAATTCAGCTTAGTTCCCTGACACGATAATCCTAAAAATTCAGAAATAGATATCAAGGAAATTAAGAAAGAGTTGGTGATGAAACCACTAGAAAGGGTCAAGTAAATACAAATGGTCAGAGAAAATAATTAACACAAGTACACTGCTGCTTTGGTTTGAATTGTTGTCTCTTAAAGGACTATGTATTAAAGGTGCAGCCCCCAGGATGGTGTTATTTGATGGAAACTTTGGGAGATGGGCCTAGTGGAAGGCAATCAAGATTACTGTAGGTGTACCCTATGAGGAGATTGTGGGACCCTGGACTCTTCCCCCTTCCTTTTTGCTTCCTGACCATGAGGTAAGCAGTTTGCTCTTCCATACACTGTTTACCATTGCTAGTTGGCACCCTCACCAGAAGCCCAAAGCAATTATGTCTTTCTGATTTTAGATTGGCATCTCTAAAATTGAGCTAACATAAAATTTTAATCTTTACAATGTATTTCATTATAATGACAGAAAGCTGACTCATACAACCCTACATATTGTAATTATTACCCATCAATGGAAATCATAGCTTACTAGTAAGATCTCAAAATAAGAATTTACTAATGTCTGGTAGACATTAGTTATGGATAGACTAGTACTTAAGTAATAAACTGAACAACAATGTAATTTCTTACTACCATTACAACCAAGGGCCTTGAACCTCTCATTTATCTATTTCTGTATATTGGTATATCTATATATCTATAGTACTTGATCAATGATCTTGGAATACAATATTTAATTTATAGCTATCTTTCTTACATTGGATGCTGATGACACAAATTAAGAAGACTTTGCCCATACTTTTAATTTATTCTGCAAACTGCAGAACATAGTTCAACAAATATTTGGCTTTTATTTTTATTTTTCTAATTCAATTGTTTTTGGTTTTCATTTGCTATGTTTGTAAATTTCTAAAATACTTCTAGAAATGTTTAATAACATATCAAAACTGAGTAATAAATATTTCATAAATAATCAGAGCAGCCAAACTTCACTAGGTACTTTCTACTTACAGGCACAATTATCTCAGATGATTCTCGAAAAAATCTATCAGGAAGACTATTACTAATAGTCTTTACTGAAGAAGAAAACAAAGCACAGAGATTAGCTTTAAAAAGTTCTCTTAGGCATAAGAGCCAGAGCCTGAACTATGTACCTATGTAGCCTGATTCCAGAGTTCATGCTCTTAACCACTAAGTAACACATTTTATATTTCTGCTATATMTGTTTCCAAAAAATGGATAAATTGCCTTCTGAAAAAAAGAAAAACAAATCTATTAGAGACATATGTCTTTAGAAGTGCAAAGAATGAAGATAGCCAGTGTCTCAAATGAGATGTTCTTGTCCTCAAAAAGCTTGCAACCCAACTGGGGAACCAGAACAAACATCAAAAGAAAACAATACACTGTGCCATAGGATGAATGCAAATAAGCATAGACAGAATTTGCTATGAAAGTTGAGAGAAAGTAGTTTCTAAGTACTGGGCCATCATAAAAGATTTGATAGAAAATACAGGCCTTATATGAGGGATAAAATTGATAGGAGGAAGATGGTTTTATAAGTAATGGGAAACATTTGAACGAAATTATGGATGAAGCACCCTGAAAAGATCAACTGTTCAAATTTTTCATTAAGGGAGGTAAATGGTGATGAGGCTAGAAAATTAAGGACCATATTGAAAAGGTAAATGGATTCCAGTTAAAGAATATTTTATTCTCTAGATCTACCCTCTTCAATATTGCAGCTACTAGTCAAGTGTGGCTACTGATCACATGAAATGTGGCTAGTCCAAACTGAGCTGTGCTGTGTGGGCAAAATACATACCAATGTTTTAGGACATAGGAGGAAAAAAGAATGTAAAACATCACATTAATAACTTTTAAAAAATATTTTTTAGTTGTTGATGGACCTATTATTTATTTATATGTGATGCTAAGAATTAAACTCAGTGCCTCATGCATGTTAGACAAGTGCTCCAACACTGAGCCACAATCCCAGCCCTCATTAATAATTTTTATATTGATTACATTTTAAAGTGATAATATTCTGTATATACTGGGTTAAATATAATATAATATAAATGTATATACTGGGTTAAATATAATATAATATAAATGTAGCTTGTACTTTTGTGGCTTCCATTGTATTCATATTGGACTGGGCTATTCCAGAAAATGACACACAAAGGAAGATTAATGAGCAGGTATTAATGTCTGGTGGACATTAATTGTTTTAATAAGTTTATTCTAATATAATAGACTTATAAGACAAATTATCTGGTTTTTCAATAAGCTAAATCACAAGAAAAGAAGAAAAGCAAGATTTTAGCAAAGAAGTGGGCCTACTATAGCTTAAAAGATGTTTCAGAAATGTAATAACCAAATATAATGTGTGCACTTTGTATCCTGTTTCAAGGAAACTAACCATAAAAGACATTTTTGAAACAACAAGGGAAATATAAGTAAGTTCCAAATACTGATACCAAAGAAATATTAATAATATTGGTTGAATAGTACACATTTCCTATTTTTCAAACCCAAATAAATAAATAGAATAAAAGAGAGAACACAATGACCTAACAAGAATAGTACATTAAGATGAAGCACTTTTCTGTTCAAACTGAAGTACTTAAACATATCTCTGCCAAGAAGTGCAAAGTGGGTTGTTTAAGGGCTAGGGAAATTCAAGAATTATTCTGATAGTATTGCATTAGAAAGTATTCACTTAATTTTGTTGCTTTAGGTATTTTTGTAGGGCTAAATAGAAGGTACGCTGGAGCCAGGACTAAAACTAGACCCTCTATCAGTATAATTTTCTTTGTGTCTGCCTTAAATATGTGAAAATCCTATGGAGAACCAATACTTTTATTTTTAGATTTTTTAAAGTTGCCTGTATCACTCTTTATAGTTCTTACCATCATTATATAATAGATCATATTAGAATATTTTACTTATTCTACATAATTTTATCTCTAATGCTTCTAAAAGCAAGATTGGGTGGAAGAAAGATAAAAAAAAAAAAAAGGAAAATAAATCTAAACAGCAGCAACAGCAAAACCATCTTAACATTTCCAGGTAAATTTGAATGTCACAAGCCAAAAAAACTAAGATAAATTTACACCTCTTGGCACAATGCCAGGAAGAGAGATCAATGTAAAATAAGCGAAGAGAAGAGTTAATAAAAGGGAACGAGGGAAGGGAAGAAAGAGAAAAGGAAGGGTGGGGGGAACTAGCTAGRACAAGCCCAACAGCGCCCATTTGGAGTGCCCCTTAACTGATTCAAAGGGGAGGAGACCATTTTATTTTTTTCGAAAGGCTTAAAAGGTAGCAAAGCGGCCTGAGAATAGGTGGACTAAGTAAGGGTTTGACTGCTACTCAATTAGCTATTTTGGTCCTGGTCTTTGGTTTGTTTGCCCTAATAGTAAAACCCTCTTTATTTGTCTCACTGGGTTAAAGTGAAAGCAGAGTGAAATAGCAAATTAAAAATGATTTGGAAAAGTTCTTTTTTTTTTTTTAAGTCGGTAACCAAAGTCTAAAAGAAATAATTATCTTGAACATATTTTATCAGAACTCCTCATCCTTCTCATAAGCCCCACCCGCGCCAAATACACACAGAAAAGAAGGGGAGTGGTGAGCGCAGGGTAAGGTGAGCGAAAAGGCTTCGGAGAAGGCGGGGATAGCCTGAGGGGTGGGTTGCTCGCTGAAGAGGAGGAGAGAAGCGACCGTCGCAGAACCAGGAAAAAAAAGAGCCAGAGTGAGGGGAGGGACTCAATTCTCTACAGCGCGGACACTTACAGCTAGTCAACTCCATGAAATTGGTGACTGGTTACCATAGCTACCGCGTCGGGGCGGGAACAGCGGCGCTTCCTACTGGTGCCCTGGCACCTAGGGCTCGACTAGAAACATGATCACGTTAGAGCAGTGACTTCCGGCGGAAAAAGAAGCTGGTTCCTAGTCCTAGCCGGCAGCCTAGAGCCGGCAGCGAGTGGGCCTTCTTGGCTGTGTGAAGTTGGGTAAGTCTGATAAAATCTGAAGCCCGGGAGAGGGTACCCGTCAAGTGGCCGGGCCGGGTAGAAGTGACARCGAATACAGTGGATTCCCAAGTTCTAATCTTGGGAAGGCCCCAGATGTCTGAATAAGTCTGTAGCGTGGAAAGAGGTTGCTTGGTTTCTGGGGCTCCTGGTAAGTGTGGTTTCTGTAGCTTGAATGGACAGCTTCAGGGGCTCTTCTGATTTTGGGGAGGTTTGAGCGTCTGTCCAATAACAGGGGACTCTTGCTGTCTCCCTGCCAGTGCTAATGTTCACTGCGCACAATCTCCTTTCCATGTAATCTGGAAGAAAAGAAGTGAACGGGAAAAATCAGGGTATGCCCTCAAATTCATTTTTGTTTTAGTTTTTGTTTTTAGTTTTCTGTTTTGCTTTATTTYTTCTGTTTATTTATTTTGTAAATATTTATTAAACTGTGTTTAGTAAGTTCTTGTATGCCATTTTACCCACCAGATTACCTTCTTAGAAGTTCATTCACCAACTACATCCAGTATCAACTTCTATTTTTATGCTACTGTATATTCATTAATTTAAAAGATATAATAGGTTTTCCATTTTTGTGTATACCCTTATCCATGGAATTCTTGGCATTTTAAATAAAAATGCATGGTTCCATAGGTTTACGTTACAATCATGATTCCTCAGTGAGATATTAAAGAACTTAGAAAGGCAGTACTTCATTTTAGATATAAACTGTAATGAATTATTGTCATTGATATTTCTATTCAGCGGATCTGAGAAGACCCACTTCTTGTTTAATGGATGATGGCATTTGAGCAGTTACCAAAAAAGGATTGGTACAGCATTCTGGGAGCAGACCCGTCTGCAGATGTGTCAGACCTAAAACAAAAGTATCAAAAGCTCATACTGATGGTAAGTCTTTTCTTTAAGATTATAAATCATGGGCGACAAAAACAACAGGTTATAATTGTCACTAGAAATTTAGGTTTTTAAACATATATGGTATCAATAGGAATTGAAATATTAATTTGCGTCAATTGAAAGTCTTAGTAATATAGCAAAACAAAAACAAAAAAACACTTGATTTGATGTGGAACTGGAGATCTGAGTCAGGTTGATTGAGTTATTGGACAACTTTCTTCTGTATGTGCCTCAGAGAGGAGTAGATATAATAATCCATATAAAATGTATAGAAGTGTTGTTGTATAATAAACAGTTCACTTCCAGTAACCACTAGCCACATGTTGATATTGAGCACTTGAAATATGGGTAGTACAAATTGAAGTGTACTATAAGTATAAAATGCATATTGAATTTCAAAGATTTAATTTTATACTGTTAATATGTTGAAATGGTACTATTTTGGATATACAGGCTATTTTGTAGAGTATATGCATAAGATATCCATATTTTTTCATGTATTAAATTTCTTTCACCTGCTTTTACTATTTTAATAACATTGTATATGCAGTCTGCATTTATAGCTCAGATTATATTTCTATTGGAAAGTGCCGATATAAGCCATTTTTGCACATTTTCAGTTGAATTCATCCTCTTAAAAAATGAATTGTGGTATTTATAAATATATAGAATCTTTCTGAACTCTTATATTCATTTTTAAATCTATTTGATGATGTTCTTAATCCAATGTTAGTAAATCTACCATGATCTCCAGTTAACAGAGTTTACAAGAATTAAGAACCATTATTTATAGAGCATTAGTTATTTCTCTAGTTTATACCAGATACATCTCTGGTATTTTCTCCACAAACTATTCATGTTTATTGTGACTGATAGATGGTTCACCATTAGGAATTGTAGTAATATTACTGCTTTAGGTAGTAAATCAGACTAAATGACCATAAACCATCTTCTTCATAAATTTTAAGGTTTCTATCAGCAAAATCAAGTAGGTTTTAGTGAAAAATTTCCTGATATTAAATTATCCTTTTACTTCTGTTAATTGGGAGATAAGGTGAAGTTGACCAGGATAGATCRTGCAGGTCCTTCTAGGCCATGTTAGCCTTTAATTGGGTAATGAGAAACCATCTGCATTTAATGGAGTGGTATCTGTCTGACACCAAAGTGAATGAACACTTTATGTGCATGTTAGCAGTGTATCAGAATTTCAGTTGCTCTACATGTTCATCAGCATTTGATGCTATTAATCTCTTTCATCTATTGAGATTTGTCAATTTTGACATCATTTAAAATTTTAGCAGTGTAATTATTTGTTATATAAAATATAACAAATATTATAAAACATATAGCAGCATCCCAGATGCCAAACAATGAAAAATATCTCTTTTGAGTGTCAAAATGGCCAACCTCACTCACTATTCCATTGAGAGTCGCTGCTATTGTACTGTGTTTGTAGTGATACCATATTGTGGAGTTTTTGTTTTTGCTTTTGTTTTTAAACCTCTTGTGACTATCAATGTTGAGTATATTATAATTATTGGCTATTTTTATAATCTTTTGTGAAATGTATTTTTTTAATTAAATATATTCTTGATCCTGTGTACATGTTGCATATATTTTTTTTCTAGTCTGCAGCTTGGCAGGTCATTTTCTTAATGGTATTTTTTGATTCATAGTTTTTTTGTTTAGATGAAATACAATTTATCCAATTTTTGTTGTATATTTGCAGCTTCCTATATCTTCTCTAAGGTCATAAGAATATTCTTCTATGTTTTCTAATAGAAGTTTTATAATGTGTTTTTCCTTTGAGATCTATGATTTTTATGTATAGTATGATATAGGTGGTCATATTTTTATTTTTCCTCAATGTAGAGATCCAGTTCTTCTAGCATCATTTGTTAAAAATATGCTTTTTTTCTGCATTGAATTATTGGTGATATGAATGTATTTCTGCACATTATTCTGTTTGTTGTATTTGTCCTTTTGTTAACATCTCTATCTTGATTCCTATAGGTTTATAACTCTCACAATCATGTAAATTCATTCTTTTTTTTTCAAGTTTATTTTGGTTATTCTAGTTTGCTTGCATTTCCATAGAAATTTTATAATCAGCTTATATATTTAAACCAAAAAGTAATCTTGTTTGAGTTTTAAATTGAGATTGCATTAATATATATTCATTTTGCCAAAATGGACTGCTTGTTAATATTGAGTTATAAATCCACAAACATATTAAATCCTTTCACTTAGTTAAGCCATCTTTAATTTGTCTTAGCAGTATTTTATGATTTTTAGTATAGAGGCCTTGTACATCTTTGGATTTGTTTCTAATGACTTGATGTTTCTGGTTGCATTTTAAAGGGAATTTTTTAAAATTTCACTTTTAAATTATTAATTAATAATATGTAGAATTAGTATGCCTTATTTTCATATACTAGTTTTATAATCCACGATCTTGTTTTTAATTCTTCTAGCTACTTTTGTAGATTTCTTAGATTTTCTACAAATTATGTCATTTGCAAATAGCTTTAATTTTGTCTTTCCAACCTGTGCCATTTATTTCGCTGTGTGTCTTTCTGTTTTAATGTACTAGCTAGGTGAAATTTGCTTTCTTCTTATCTGTGTCCATGATGGTTTTCTCCTGCTGCTACTCTGGTAGCAAAAACATCAATGGGTCTCTTCTTTATTAGGAAGGGTTTTTACATTTTGAATTTGAGTTTATTAGGTTTCTTGGAATCTTCAGCTTCCTGAGTCTTCAGCTTCCTCTATTAAAACAAAAACAAACACACATCATAGAAAATTATGAGTATGTAGGATATCTGACTTGTTTTTCTAGATAATTAACTATCAGAATTGAAATATGCCATAATTTTTCTCATCTTTTAAAAAAGCAAAGTGTTGATTCCTTTTCTGCCATTTATCGCCCCACCTCTGTTCTTTGCAGCAAAGCTATTTGAAAGAATTGTCTCTACTGCCTTGTGCCAATTTCTCTTCCCATCTCTCTCAAACCTATCCCAGTGAAACTTTGCTGCCATCACTCCAGTGAAGGTCAGCACTGAGATCCATGTTGCTAAAGCCAGAGATCAATTCCCAGTCTTCATTTTGATCAAATAATAATAATACCATTTATCATAATTGTCCTAGAACTGTTCTGGTGTATGCCTGGTTTTTTGTTTTGTTTTGTTTTTTGCACAATTAATAGCTCCCCTTTTTACTTTGAGAAGTGTTCTAGTTTGAGTGATATTTAATAACAGCATTTGGTGCAGTGTATCTCCTTCTTGATATATTTTCTTTGCTTGTTTTCCAGGACATGATAATTTTCTGACTTACTAAAACCATCTCTGGAAAGTAGTATGCAGTCAATAAATCTTTGTTCAATGTGTCAAGTATATGAATATAGTCAACTTTGTATTTTAATTCCTTTGTTGATTTTTTTATGTGTTTTTTTTTCTTGGTACTGGGGATTGAACCCAGAGGTGCTTAACCACTGAGCCACATCCCCAGCCCTTTTTAAAAAAAAAAAAAAAAATTAATTTTTTTATTTTGAGTCAAGGTCTTGCCAAATTGCTTAGGCCTCATGAAGTTGCTGAGGCTGGCTTTGAACTCCAGCCTCAGCCTCCCAAGTTGCTGGGATTACAGGTATGTGCCACCGCACTTGGCAATTTTTTGTTTTTGTATTTACAATTTCTGTACTCTGCCAGATTTACTCAAGTTATATTTTTGAGTTATTTTTTTAGGAATATAATATCTTTTTAAAGTTATTAAAGTTTATTTTTTTCTTTTTCTTCCTTTGAGTTCCTTTTTAAAAAAAATATTTTGGCTTTTTTTTTTTTTTTTGCCTTTTATCATAGAGGCTCCTTTCATATTTGGTGATCCTAGATCATGTTTAAAAGTGAATGATTAAAGCTGATTTGCAAGTGTATGTACATGACTGGAGGCTTTCATCAGGTAAGGTGAATCATTTTGTTGTAAGATCTCACTTGCCTGTATTTGAATCTTCATCTCAGAGAGGAATTCTCAGATCTCCTGCCTGGGGAGATGGGAACTTGGGCTCCTACAGTGGTGTGTGTTACATTCCATCTTCCTTTTGTTTTCATTGTCTTCAGTACACCTTTGTATCCTAGTGCTCAGCAGTGTGCCTGATGTTCCTGGATCCAGAACATCTTTGGTCTTTCTTTCCACACAGTAAACTTCTAATTTTCTGCTCTGATAAGACAGAGTAGATGCCTGGCTTTGTGGTGAGGAGGACTTTAAATCCCAACCAGACTTTCTCTCATTTACTCCTGCCCCTCAACCCCACTCTCAATGATAATAATGCTTTCAATTTATTAGTTTCTCTGATCTCTGTGTGAATGAACATCCTTCTTATTCTCTCACTTGAGGCTTATGTTTCAGTTTTCTTGGGCAGATTGAATTGAATACTATGTGAGTCAGCTTTCCATTACTATAAGAAGTACCTGAGATAATCAGCTTATAAAGAGAAAAGGTTTATTCTGACCTAACAGTTCAGAGGTTCCAGTCCATGATCCGTTGCCTCCATTGCTTTTGCTTCTGTGGTGAAGAACTTTCATGACAGAGAAAAACCACTTAGCTCTTGGCCAGGGAGCAAAATAAAGAAGAGACCAGGGTCCTACTGTCTCCTTTGACTGCTGTGATCTATAGATCTCCTGTTAGGCCCTACTTCTTAAAATTCCACCACCTTCCATTAGTGTCAAACTTGGGACCAAGTCTTTAGTACATGAGCTTTGGAGGGATAGTCCAGATCCAAATATAGCAGGTACCATTTATGGATCAAATTTTAGTGTTTTCTGATCGTTTTTTTTTCTGTTCTATTGGTTGTTGTGCATTTATGTCTTTTTAAAACGACATTATTTCTCAGGAATTTGGGGAGGTTAAAGGGGAAAATGTGTGAATTAATTTACCACATAGTATTTCATTTGCTCTTGGATGGTGTGGGACGGGGTTCAGATACCTTCAGTGGTCATATGCCT